CCTTCGAGAATACATGCCAGCCTTTCTCACTATCCACTGGGGTTTAGAGAGGCTGCAGCTGGCAGGGGGCAAAATGCCAGGACACCCCCCCCCCAATACCTTTGCTGCTCCTAGACTTAGCTGCAGGGGGTCACAGTCATTACAGGTGGGCATCCATTTACTCAGCAATATATATTCAAAATAGTCAGGGCAGCTGGGTCTTCCGGTGGCCGTCAGGATCCCTTCACTTCATAAAAGACCCGCCGCTGGTAGAAGTCAACCTAAAACTGGTTTGTCGGTACAGCTCTACACACAGCGGCTGGCTTTTGGATTCTTTGCACAAGGCAGATAGGTATAACGATGGTGGGTGATGAACACCTGCATTTTTAATGTCCATAGACCGAGAAATACCTCTCCGAACGTACCTAGTACAGTGGTTAAGCTGCAGTGCTGCGGATAAGCCTCTCCTCATGGCCTGAGTTTGATCCCCAACGGGTTCAGGTAGCCAGCTTGAGGTTCACTCAGCCTTCCATCCTTCCGGGGTTGATAAATTGAGGACCCAGTTTGCTGTGGGGGGGCACGTGCTGCTGGCGTAATGATGTTTGAAACTGCCCAGAGAGAGTTTTAGCATGATGGGACAAGGTATAAGCTGAAACGTAACAACGGCAACCACTTTAGATCCTTGCTCGACAGGATTAGGCCCCTTCCCCTCCTTGCCTCTCGGTCGAAACCCTTTCTCGTCGTCCCCCCACATCTGTTTGGGTGGACCTGACCTCGAGCGGGCCGTTCTCTCTTCGCCTCAGCTATCTTTACAGGGCTGTTGTAAGGATAAAGGAGGGAGACGGAGAGCCACGTTCTCTTCCCCCCCCTGCCGGCCCTGGAAGAAAGACAGGAGACATCGAGGTGAGAAATATTTGAAAACCAAATTACAAGTTGCCTCCGTTTTGGACAGCTCCGGACTCCTCTGCCCGAAGGCAAATGCGGCAGTTTTGGAAGGAACACTCGAGGGGCTCCTCTTTGCAGGAGATGATGCTCGACTCGGGGGCGCAGCAGCTGTCTGAGGAAGACACGCCTGAGGTCCTCGCCCTCCTGCCTCCCCTGGAAGGACGGGATGTTCTCGAACTGGGAGCCGGCATAGGGTGAGTGGCAAACAGACAGAAGCAACCACCCCCCCCAAAAAAGACCTGCGTTTCACCCTCTGTTCTCTTGTGATGGTCTTTGGAATTTCTGGTAAAATTGTCTTCTTCTTTTGCTACACAGTAGAAGTACAGAGATCCGCACAGGAGAGTAGCTACATGTTTCTCAGAGTCCACGCCTTTCTCATTAACCGGCACTTAAAATCTCAGCAACTCACTCTGAGACATTTGTAGGAGAAAGGATAAAAAGTGTTTCTTCACTTACAGTTGTTTGAAATGGCAGACTTGGGTATACTGCTTTCTTTACTGCACACATACTTAGCAACCAACTGAAAAGATCAACAGCAACGAAACGACGGCTACCAACCCACGAAAGAGAGGGATAGATAGAACAGCAGAGAGGTACCTCCAACTACAGACCGTGTGTGAGATTGTAAATAAAACTCTCAACAGCTAGTTGCTTTTATAAGAGGAGGAAAGCAGTCTTCAGATGCTCAGATACTCCGTAGAGAATTAAGCCATTTTGCATCTTGCACGGCTGTGGGGACGAGGAGCAGCCTTCCATGTTGAATTACCTGGTTTAGGTGGAAGGGATGCGTTCAGAGCTTGAAAAGCAACACATTACAAATAACAACCTCGCTGTATTTATTTCCCTGTCCTAATAACTAAGGTTTAACTACATTACCTTGTAGTAATAATAACTTAAGAAGGTGTAACGCAAGGGGTCCCCCCCAACCTTGGGGCCTCCAGATGTTCTTGGACTTCAACTCCCAGAAATCCTGGCCAGCAGAGGGGGTGGTGAAGGCTTCTGGGATTTGTAGTCCGAGAACATCTGGAGGCCCCAAGGTTTGGGGACCACTGCTCTAAAGGAACAAACAGGACTCTTATGATCCTTCCGATGGGCTTTTTAATCTCTCGCCACAGGGGAAAGGGCATTCACGGAACAGATGATGCGCTTTTTTAAAAAATGGAGATGCTTAAACATTGTTTTTAGCTTAATAGCATGCTAGCACTGGCGTTAATTAAAATGCATTTTCATTTCTTCTCTTTTTCCCCCCCCTTTCTTGCTCTACGCCAACTCACGTCTTAGCCAATTCTGGCAAAAGGAGGGGATAAGTAAAGTAAAAACAAACATTACGAGGAGTTATTCTCTTTTTAAAAAAAGTTATAAACATAACTCACTCCTTTATGGGCGCTTCGGATTAATCCCTGGAACGGATTGCTTTCCAGTTTGTGAATGCCCTTTGAGGCTTCTTCTTCCCCGTTTTTATTTCAGGCGGTTCACCGGACATCTGGCGGAGACGGCTCGCCATGTCACGGCGGTGGATTTCACGGAAAGCTTCCTGAATCGGAACCAGCTGGAAAACGGGCATCGGCCAAACGTGGCGTTTCAACAGGCCGACGTTACCAGCCTGGTCATGCCAAGCCAGAGGTGAAAAATAATGCAATTTACAGGAGGTGGGGGTGGGCAGAGTGACACCCCAACAGCTCCTGTTGGATTATAACAACTCCCAATATTCTTCCCCATTGGCTGTGGCTGATGGGACATGGAGTCCAACCCGTTTTACCCACCTCTGCTTTCAGTCCTTTAAGAAGATATTGACAGCTTCAGGCCAGGGCTGGGTGGAGGCGAGGGGGTCTCGGTGGGCTCAAAAATAACACCTCTTTTTAGCTTTAAAGGTCTTATAGATGATGATCACACAGCCTTTGGAAAGATATTTGAATCTTTCAGAACAGAGACGTTGAGAAACCGTAAAAGCTGTATTTGGCCCAAATGCTGGAGGTTCTCGCTTCTGCTTTGGGTTGCCAGAAAAGCAAGCTCTCTGCCCCACAGAGCTTACAGGTTAAAATTCATAAGCAAAGTCCAGGGGGAGACAGAGAAGCAAGGTGAGGTGGCTTCAGACAGAGGAGGATCGGGTTAAGAACGTAGGAAGTTGCTTTGTATGGGGACAAACCACTGCCCCCCTCCTCTAAGCCGCCGTCCAAGCTGACGAAGGGGGAGCCCCGCAGACTTCCTTGGATGGAAAACTTCCCTGTCGAATTTCTGGCTGCGGTGCAAGGGACGTTCGAGAAGAAAGAGGCACAGGAGCCATAAAAGAAGAAAGAGGTGGCGACAGCGATGCTGCCACACTCATTAACAGAAGGGATCACAGGCTTCCTTGGAACGTGGAAGACACAGCTGGAGGGACCTTAGAGCAGACATAAGCATGACCCAGATAATTTACAGTTCACCCACTGACATCTCTTTTGATTTTGAACTACAGTGGTGCCTCGCTAGACGATGATAATCCGTTCCACTGAAATCGCTGTTTAGCGAAATCATCGTCTAGCGAAAAGCATTTTCCCCATTGGAATGCATTGAAACCTGTTTCATGCATTCCAATGGGGAAGACTCGTCGTTGTCTAGCGAAGATCGGCCATAGGAAAGCCGCTTTGCGAACCGCCAATCAGCTGTTTAAATCGCTGTCTTGCGAAGCTTAGGTCCCGAAAACACCCGTTTTGCGAGCGCGGAGGGAGCTGTCAAAATCGTCGTCTAGCGAAAATCGGTTTGCGAAGCAGGGACCAAACATTGTCCAGCGAAATTCCCCCATAGGAATCACTGTTTTGCGAATCGCTATAGCGATCGCAAAAAGTCAATGTCTAGCGAAAAAAACTGTCATGCGGGGTAACTGTCTAGCAAGACACCACTGTAGTTGCCTATTTAGGGTTACATTCATATCCTATATTATTTCCTGGCAGCAAAGGCTGCTGGATCATTCCGTGGAGAGCCAGAGGTTGGGGATTCAGTTTCATAAGTCCGTCCCAGCTCTGCCATTTATAGACGGCCGGTCCCCCAACTCACCCCTTTTCGGTCACATCAGCCCTGCGAAGTAGGACAGACAGAAAGAGAGCTATAAAGTGACCCGATGAATTTTGTGTCTTGGGGGGGGGAGAATCGAACCCAGCGCTCACGATTCCTATCCCCACGGTCTAACCACGACACCCCTTCCAGTCCTTGAACCCCAAAGTCTTCGGGACTCGGCATTTCAACAGGTGAAGATGCAACTCAGAGGATGATACTCGGTCTTTTTCTCCCCTCCTCCAGCTTTGACCTGATCTTCTCCAACTGGCTTTTCATGTACCTCTCCGACTCGGAAGTGAGGGATGTCGTCCAGAAGATGCTTCTCTGGCTACGTCCGGGAGGACATCTGTTCTTCCGGGAGTCCTGTTTCTGTCAGTCGGGTCTGTAATCCGAACAGTGAGAGGGAAAAAGGGGAGGATGCTTAAGTCTCAGCAGGTCCTGGGAGTGATTGATTCTGGGAAGCAATGGATGATGGCGAGAGGGTCGTGGTCAATGGGTATAAAGAGAATTCCATCCATCCAGCTCTCGATCTGGTTTATAAACATGGGATTCTCTCCCTCTCCCTCTCTTTCAACTGGATTCTGTAAATGCAATTTATAGCCCTTTTGTTGTTTAGTCATTTAGTTGCGGCAGATTCGTGACCCCATGGACCAGAGCACGCCAGGCCCTCTTGCCTTCCACTGCCTCCCGGAGTTGTCTCTGAACTGGATTCTGTAAATGCAATTTATGGCCCTTTTGTTGTTTAGTCGTGTCTGATTCTTCGTAACCCGACGGACCAGAGCACGCCAGGCCCTCCCGTCTTCCACGGCCTCCCGGAGTTCGGTCAAATTCATGTTGGTCGCTTCGATGACCCTATCCAACCACCTCATCATCCTCTGTTGTCCCCTTCTCCTCTTGCCCTCACTCTTTCCCAACATCAGGGTCTTTTCCAGGGAGTCTTCTCTTCTCATGAGATGGCCAAAGGATTGGAGCCTCAGCTTCAGGATCTGTCCTTCCAGGGAGCACTCGGGGTTTTTGATTTCCTTTAGAACGGATAGGTTTGTTCTCCTTGCAAATGCATAGCCCTAAAGTCTATAAATAATAATAAAAAAACGAAAGAGTTGTCTACTCTAGGATATTAAATAATAATAAAAAAACTAAAGAAGTGTCTACTCTAGGGTATGAACCGGAAGGAATTTATGCTGACCCTATAACACGCTGCCCCACTATTTATGTCACACACACACACACACCCAAGGTGAGAAGGACCCATGGCAGGTAATTACGTAAGACAGAAAAATCAAATCTTGTTGGCTTCATTGGGCTTCAGGCGACCGTCCCCGGTCCTTCAACCCCACGCTGTACCGGTCTCCTGCGGAGTACAATAGTTTTCTGGCGACAGCCCACGTGGCTTCCGGAGGTGAGCGCCACGGCTTCGAGATCGTCATGTCCCGTTCGGTGCAAACCTACATAAAGGTAATTACTTGTAACTTGTATTTTGACCCCCCCTGGCATGAAGAGGGTGCCTCTGAGCCTAAGCAGAAAGCTGTCTGCACTGACACCTTGAGACACACAATTATTGAGCCCCATGCCTAATTAAAACCACTGTCCTGCTCCCGAAAGCCTTTCTACTAAGAGCTTACCCTCTGTGCAGAGATTTCATGAGGACTAGAAACTCAAACCTTTTTTTAAAAATAAATGCAGGGGAATGTGATTCTCAAGACGCCTGCGTCTGTCAGAAGGCGCACACTCCCGTCCCGTCTACCTCCTTTTCCAGAGGAAGCAAAATCGGAATCAGGTTTGCTGGCTGCTCCAGAAAGTCCCCCGTGATCCAGAAGCCACCCGAGGGTATGACACCTTCCAGACGTTTCTCGACCGCGAGCAATACGCCACCCGCAGCATCCGGCGCTACGAATGGATCTTTGGGCCTGGATTTGTCAGCACAGGTGGCCTCAGCACCACCAAGGTAGTGGGTATGAAGAGCTGGGAGTAGAATAGAGCAGCTTTGGTCTTCTAGAAATGTTACTATTACCCTGTTTCCCCGAAAATAAGACCTAACCTGAAAATAAGCCCTCGTAGGATTTTTTCAGGATGCTCGTCATAGAAGCCCTACCCTGAAAATAAGCCCCAGTGAAGTGAAACCCTGCCCTCCGCCCTTGTGCAGCAACCAGAAGAGGACAGGACTGTATTTCAATAAATGTAGATGGTTGCACATGGAAAAAATAAAAAATCCCCTGAAAATAAGCCCTAAGACTTTTTTTTTTGAGCAAAATTTAATAGAAGACCCTGTCTTATTTTCTGGGAAACACAGTACCTTGTGGCCAGAATCCCATTTATCTTTTGTTGATATAAAATGACGCCTGCAGGAATTTCTCTGGTGTCACACCCAGACCGTACGAAATGTGCCATTCGGTTGCGCGGTCGGTGGTCCCGATGAACGTGTGCAAGGCGTCCATGCGAACGTTCTTCCTCCTTGGCGTGACTTTGGATCGGGTGCCACCCCGAGCATGAAAGAAGGACCGTTTGTGGCTTCATCTCAGGCCACCTAACCCTTTCCAAACACCTCCACAGGAGCTGGTGAGCCTGTTGGATTTGAAGTCCGGTCAGCGTGTGCTGGACGTCGGCTGCGGGCTCGGTGGCAGCGATTTCTACATGGCCAAGGTAACGGGGAAATGAATTAGGATCCGGACAGCCTTCCCCATTTTCTCTTCTTTCACTCCTTTTGTCCGTTTCCATTCTACCTTGGAGCAAGAGAGAACAACCCCTGAGTGTGGGCTGCCCCATGTGCACCCCGAGGCAGTTTCCAAACGCTTCTGGGTTGTTGTCTAGTTTTTTATTTTATTTTATAACACATATAGACATACAAAACCAACCAAAAAAAAATACAAAACATATAGGCAGTGGGGGAGGCATTTCCATACAATATTATCCATCATATAAATCTGGCTGCATCAACTTTATTGCTTTTAAATATTGAGTTCAATATAAACCATCCTAAAGTTATAATAATTCTAGTGATTGATTTTGTGAAAGCCTTCGCAAATACATTGATTTTGTATAGATTCTTTCTCTTGCATTCTTAGCTATATAGAGTCTTTCTCTTGCATTCTTAGCTAACCCGTTATATCTCAGGATATCAATGTTTACAAATCACGGTTCTCTAGATCTTCCAGCCGGGAAGAAACCCTGGTGTGTGGGGGGGGAAAGGGGGCTTTTGTGACCCATGAGATTCATGTTCATTATATCCTGGAGAGGGGGACCAACAGAAACAGAGCCCTCGATCCGACTACTGACGAGAAGACCATGCACCGAATTTTTAGGTGAAACACCATGCATTGAACATTTATTGCTTTCATTCACAAGACAGCAAAAGACAAAAATCATCCAGGGGCCTCTATTCATTCTTCGCTTTCACTCAACCCTCGCACACAGAACTCTTCCCTGATCAGTCCTTCAGGAAGAGCGATGGGAGCAAACGTTGGAGCTGCTGTTCGAAGCTCGCCGTCTGTTCCCGGGTCATCCTTCTGGTCGGGCATCTTCCCGGTGGTCTGTGCCTATGGGCTCAACCTGGCCATAAGCAAGCAGGGAGGCAGACCTTGATTTCGTGGGCAGGTAAAATCTGTGGTTGCCACGGCCTCCCGGAGTTGGGTCAAATTCATGGTGCGACCAACCCACCACTTTTTCAAATTCCCAATTCTCTGGATTGGTGGTTTTCTCCTCCTTCAGTTCTTCCAGTAATGGGTTAGCATCCTCTACGGTCCCTCAAGGCGGCCAGCGAGTCAAGGGAAACCCTGCTTTCTCTGCCGCCAATATATATATAGATATAGATATTTTTGCTGCATTGCTGTCTAGGCCGCCTGAGGCAGCTAACTGCGGAGCCCGCCTGGGTCCCCGATTTCAACTGTCCGCAAGTCACCCCGAGCAGCCGCGATAATGTCTTTTTCTCCATAGGAGTTTGGTGTGGACGTTCTGGGCATGGACCTCTCTCATAACATGGTGGAGCTGGCCCTCGAACGGGCTCAGAAGGAGCCCGAATCCCTGGTAAGGACACAGGGGGGCAGAAAAACACAGAAAGAGCTGGGATCCATAGTGCAACGTCACAGGCCCTAAGTCATTACTTATTCCAGACCCAGGGCTGAATCGTTTGATGCTGCTTTTGGTGGAAGGAAAAAAGTTCCTTCCCCCATCACTTGAGAGTATGGCTTAAGAAGAAGCTGACGGCATAGACAAGATCCAGGTCTATAGAGCCTGTGTCCGGAGCGCACTCCTGGACTGCAGGGAGTCCTGGACCTTCATGCGAGGCAGGAGAGGAAGCTGAACACCTTCCATATGCGTTGCCTCCGATGGATTTTCGGTATCACCTGGCAGGACAAAGTTCCAAACAGAGTAGTCCTAGAACGAGCTGGAGTTTTTAGCATATATACATTACTGAAACAGTGACGTCTATGTTGGCTTGGGCACGTTGTGAGAATGGCTGACGGTCGGATTCCAAAGGATCTCCTGTATGGAGAATGAGTGCAGGGAAATCGCCCCAGGAAGGAGGCCCTACCTGCGATCCAAGGAGATCTGCAAGCGGGATCTGAAGGCCTTAGGAATGGACCTCAACAGATGAGAAACCTTGACCTCTGAGCGTTCAGCCTGGAGGCAGGCGGTGCATCACGGCCTCTCCCAATTTGAAGAGACCCTTGTCCAGCAGGCCGAGGCAAAGAGGCAGACCCGGAAGTAGCAAAATCAGGGAGCTGGACAGGGGACAGATTGTGTTTGTCTTCCGTGTGGATGGGACGGTCACTCTTGAATTGGCCTTCTCAGCCACACTAGACGCTGTTCCAAGTCCTCCATGCAGAGCCAGAAGGACGCCTACACGCTTGCCATCTCCTACTTTAAGACTGCGTCTCTATCTCTAGCCCATTATACCAAGTTTCCCCAAAGCTGTTTTTGACCCTCTTGCTTTTAGGTGCAGTTCGAAATTGGCAACGCCACCCGAAGGACCTTTCCAGAGGGCTCCTTTGACGTGATTTACAGCCGGGACACCCTTCTGCATGTGGAGGACAAGAGCGCCCTCTTCAGGAAGTTCCTGGTGAGTGCCCTCTCCTGCCTGCAAAGAAGAACAAGGGGCTAGTCCTCTGAGCCAGGGGTTGTACGTACCTGGTGAAGTCCGTTTGACAGCCCTAAAACAACCCCCCTGCAGGCTGAACCAGCCCCAGGAATGTGTTTTTAAACAGCAACAATCAGAACTCGAAAGGGCCAGGAGTCCACTTTATACAGTGGTGCCTCGCTTGACAATGTTAATCCGTTCCAGTGAAATCACTGTTAGGCGAAATCGTCGTCAAGCGAATTAAAAAACCCATTGAAACGCATTGAAAACCCTTCAATGCGTTCCAATGGGCTAAATACCTCATCGTAAAGCGAAGATCCTCCATAGGGCGGCCATTTTCCGGTGCCTGTATAGCGAGGAATCTGTCCTAAAGCACAGTGGGGAGCCATTTTGCACAGCAGGCGGCCATTTTAGAGCTGCCGATCAGCTGTTTGAAAATTGTCGTCTAGTGAAAAATCGGTTCCCGAAGCAGGGAACTGATCATCGTGAAGCTCTTTTCCTATCAGAACATTGTTTTGCGATCGCAAAAGCAATCGCAAAAACTTCATCGTCAAGCGGTTTCATCATTTAACAAGGTAATCATTAAGCGAAGCACCACTGTATTCTGAACACATTCTGAATTTTGGCAGTTCGGGGGGGGGTTGGAAAACAAGGTGCATGGAGGGCCTAAGCTTTGTTGCAATGGGAAATCACAACTCTAGGAGGCCTCTAGGGAACAGAAAATATTTCCTCTCTCTCTCTCTCTCTCTCTCTCTGTCTCTCTCTCTGTTTTGGTAGTAGGCAGCAAAAACTACATGGCGTCTCCCTCAAAGGCACCCGGCCCATCTTGAAATCTGTCTTACACCTATTCTAGATGATGCAAAGATAACATTCGTTAGGCATAAAACATCTCAAACAGCATCAGGGTCTTGGTGGCGAAAGCAAAGCTATTTCCCACACACGTTAAAAGGAAGAAAAAACAGCCCAACTGCTTTGTTTCACCCATGTTGAACAGATTTATTAAACAGAACTAATTGGGTTTTTCTTCTCTCGTTCCTAAGTCCCCCCGTTCGATCGTCCTTCGTCAAAGATTATGAATAGAACCAGCCTTTTTCCTTCTCTTCAAGCTTACGCCATTAACCTTCCTGTCTCTTCTCCCAGTCATGGCTGAAGCCGGAGGGCCAGCTTCTGATCTCCGACTACTGCTGCGGGCCACGTCCCTGGTCAAAAATGTTCACAGAGTACGTCCAACAGCGAGGGTACAGCCTGCTTACGCCACAGGAATATGGGCAGGTACGGTAGGTGATGTGAATTGGCCACCTTGGGGGGGGGGGGGGAAAAAATTAAGATTA